TCTGGATGGATGCCTTGGTTATAGACATCATTAGTGTGGTGTTTTTCCTCAGTTGCTAGTTATTTGTAGGCTGTAGTGGTGGTGTACAGTGTGTGGGAAGATTCCCTGTCTCCTGTTGACGAGGGAAGATAGAGGTATTTGAAATCCTTTCTTTCCCCAGCCCTATGGTCCTCTTAACAGTGTGAATTATACTGAGACACCAAGTTTAATCTCTGAGACAGTGCGTGGGTGTAAGAATCAGCTACGTCCTGTATGATTGAGTCACTAAATGCTGTAATTGGCTGTACAAGCTGTCCTCCCTGCCAGTAGGTGGCATGTACCAGAAAGAGTCAACTACAATGTTGTTTTTTGGGATCTGTGACCAGCTCTAGGCCCTCAGGAGAAGCACTCAAATGCCCCAGGTGGTGGGAGGGCCCTAGAATTCTCAGGGGACTCCTTATTCTCCATCGCAGCAGAGGTGTGTGGAGGAGTGAGGCTGGGTAGGGCTGGGTCATGTGAGCCTGCCTTCAGGTTCCACAAAGGCAGGCACAAGAGCTGTCTCTGCAGGGATAGAGGGTCTGTTCCTAGGCTACTGAGGAATGCCACCAGGGAGGGGCTGAAGCATCACCACCAAGCCAGAAAGTCTGCTCATGGCGGAAGGGCCATCTGAGATTCACAGTCTGGCTATTGGGAATGGGTTTTGCTCTTCTCCTTCCTCCTCTGCCCCATGGTCTCCTTCCAGCATCTGGCTGCAGGGAGGAGCTCAAACTAGCTGAGCTCACCAGCAATGGCATTGTGGGCTGGGAGCTTCCCTGTCCAGGATTCTGTCCCTGGACTGAATGCATGGCTTTCCTGTGGGTGAAAGGGTGTTCTGTGAGTGTGCTGCAGCTCAGACCCACACTGTACTCTCCTTTCAGTTCTGCCCATGTGGGCTCCCTCATCTCTTGGGATTCGTTCACAAATCTCCTTTCTGTGCCACTGAGCAACACGATTGAGTCCTGAGGGTATGGGATCTGGCCTGTGGGCCTGTTCCCTGGTCCCTGAAGTTCACCCTGACTGTGCCAGGGAGAAGTGTGCTGGTCCCGAGTTGCCCATGGAGTGCTCAAGCTGGTTGAATGTCCCTCCACTTCAGAGTATGCCCTGCTCTGCTGGAGCAGCCAGGTAAGCAGCACCTGGGAAGGCCAGCAGGCGGGGAGCACACAGTGTGAGTACCCCTTGGTCAGCTGCAGATCTTTAAGAGGAAATATGTGAGCACCACTCTCTATGGAAGCCTCAGTGTGGTGGGCATATAAACAGAAGGGAAGCAGCTACTGCTAAGAGTCTGGGCTCAATTGTCCCTTGGGGCACCTGTGCTACTCAGCAGTAGTGAGCGGGGGAGAGGTGGGAGAGAAGGAGTCTGAATGGAGGACAGCTGGCACTCTGGTCCTCTTTGTGCCTCTCCCTGGAAGGCAGCCCACCCAGAATGTCCAAGCTCTGGGGTCACACAGATCCCCTGGGACCCACAAGCCCCTGTGGCCACTGCAGTCTGGGCCAGAGTTGGGAAATATTTGTGTGGGAACAAGTGACACGAAAACTGAAGGGCTGACGCTTCCTGTGGAGGACAAAGGTACACAATGGATAGAGAAGCAGTATGGTGCCCACTGCCTCAGCTCGGGTCCATGGTGACAAGAAGTGATCCTGAAGGGGCTGACAGCTTGGTGTTTTGTTTTCAAGAAGCTCCCAGTTCACTGGCATCAGCAGGTTTTGGGCTTGCGAAGATAGAAAACCTCTCTAGCAGCACAGGGGCCTGCTGACTTCCAGAGGTGTGAGGGAAGGAGAAACAAAATCCCCATCCACCCTGTCCATAGGGCTCCAAGTTTCTCAGGGGTTGATCTCTGCTGGAATCTTGCTCCTTGTTCTGCTCCGCAACTTCTTCCCATGGAATCTCTGGGAGGTTCTCGTACTTTTCCCTCAGAATCACACCTGATCTATATATTTTTTTCATCTAAAACTTTTCCTTTTTTCTGAGACAATCTGGCAACCGATGTTTCTAGTCAGCCATCTTCTTCCTCCCAGATTTATTTTCGGTTCACATCAAGACAATACTGTTTTACTTATCATTTGCAGTAATATTTCAACATGTTCTGTTGGCATATCCATGTGTGTGCAAGGGAAAATGTATTTTTCTGTTGAGGATAAAAAGAAATTCTGATGACTAAGAGTCAACGGCTGGAATGGAAGGGTACATAGAAACTTGACTTCCATTGTGTGCGTGCTTGCAGATTTTAGAACTGGGTTCTTATTTGGAGTTTTTATTTAGGAAAGGGACAGTGAATACTTCTTACTTGAAAGCTGCTGTTCCCTGTTTGATGCTAGAGACTCTGCACAGCTACTGTCCGAGTCTCCCAACTCGTAGCATATACCTTTCTTATTTCCTCTGACTCACTGACTTTCTCTTGCTGTCAACATAGGCATTTCAGCCTAGACTTCTGACGTGTAGATCTTTCTTTTCAACATACCTTTCTCTAGTCCTGATCTAGTCCAGCTTTGGAGACTTTTAGGGGTGAGAAGAGAGGTGAGGACCAGCCCCAAAGGGGATGTTAGAGTTGACCTTCTTGTTATGAGACAAGGAGTGGGCGGCAGGTAGTGCAGACCTGTTGGGATCACAACCATCAAATAATGCCTCCAAGACTTGTTTTCTCTGAATTTTGGGAATGCACTGAGAAGGGGAAAGAGTAGGAAATAGATGCAAGGAAAATAAATGTGGGACTGAACAAATAGCTTAAGGACTCTTGAAAATTACTAAAATGGCTAAAAATGATTTAGAATTCTGTATGACATTCTAGCCTGGGAGCAACAAGAGTATCCCATGAAAAGTATACACAAGTCCAAGGAAAGGCAGCAGAGTGGCTGAAAGCGTAGGCCCTGCAGCCAGTTTTACTGGGATAGATGCCTGATTCTAATAGCTAACCAGTTGTGTAATTTTAGATAAATTGTTTAGCCTCTCTGGGCCTCACTTTCCTCATACGTAAAATTGGGATAAAGAGTTGTTATAAAGATTGAGAGCTCACTGGCACGCAGTAAGAGCTAGTGATTATTTTTCTCCAGCGAGGATGCATGCAGAGTTTGTGGAGAGAGAGGTGATATTGTTGAGTGGGAGTTCCTCAAACTTGTCCCAAGTATAAAAATCCCTACAGGTTTTTTATTTTAATAATTTAAATTCTCACATAAGGGAACTAAGATATTTTCTATAAATCATGAAGTTAGTGAAAAATCTAGCTAACTGCTCTTGTGGTTAGCTCTACCCTCCTGCTCGCATCATTCACCTTGTACATATGAAGGATCCGCACCCCAGACTCAGGCAAACACACAGGGAGTCATGCGGTGGCATCTTACTCTCCCGTGGAAGTTCCCACGCTTACTCTGCACATATCTCAGCCAGGGGAAGCTAAAACACCATCCTGTCAACTGCAGTTTTGGTGTGGTAATTAGCATGATCTTTTAAAACTAGATTCATTCTTTGTTCTATTTCCTTTAAGCTGAAGGGCAGGTTTTGCTGAGCCTCAGTAAAAAATGTTTGATTCTTTGCTGACAAATTGATTGATGAGTATTCATTTTCATAATTGTGTACCCAATGATGAGTTCTTAGGCATATATACCTTTACAGGTAGCATATTACACATTAAAATGATTATAAAAATCTGTATCTAATGTCATCCGTGAAGAAGATAACTCCTTTCTATGTTAGCATTAGAAAAATGAAAAAATTAGAGGGCAGGGTTAATATGAAAGAAGAAAGGTAAACCAGAACTCATGTTCTTCAGAGCAAACCTTGGGTGGTAGAGAATCAACCCTACTGAGGCTTGCATTTGAAGTAATGCATCTAGCTTAGACTATCTGGTGGTGTTCTATCATGAAGATATTTGCCTGAAGATAGCCCACGTGGAGTTGAAGCTATTTAACCCTGAGTGGGACTTGGAAGAAGATTTTGGAAATGTTCCTTAGTATATAGAGGTTTATTCTTCAGTTAAATAGAGCAAAGTACATTAATAAGAGTTTATCCCAAGGAAAATACTTTCCCATTATTCTGTGTATTGAATCTATTCTTAAAATAGAGGCATCTCTTCTTAAAATAAGGCAAACTGTTTCAATTCATTATATCACTGACCTGACCAAAAATACTTCTAGAATTTCCAAAGGCTGCAGGTGGTCCACCGGCTTCAAAGTGATTTGGAGTCAGTTTATGTATGAATCCCAAGTGATCATAGTATAATGTGAAAACTCTATCAGTAATATCTCCAATTTCACTGTATCTTCCTAATCCTATTAGGAAATAAATAGAAGTCTCTTGATAATGATATACTACAACTAGAAAACTTTTAGTATCATACCTTCTAAAGACTTCTTCATTTAAACTAAGGCGTGAAAGTAGGGCTGTGAGACTCCTGAATTAGAAAATACATGCGAGCCCCCGGCAAGTCTTTTCCAGGCTCCACATCAGCGTAGAACCTGCTCACTGAAATAGGTGAAGAACAGAACAGAGTGAGAAGATGTTCAATTAAGAGATCTAGAGGAAAAAAGGTTAGCTCCCTCTGGTGGTGATTTCTCTTTCTAACACCAGCAAGTCAGATTCCTGCATAGGTAGGAGGCAGTGAGAAAACAACCCCTAGGATGGGAAGGGGAATTATCAGTAGAGGATACTGGGTCATTAGCTATACCAGGATTAACATGTTGAACCAAACTGTGTGTCTCGTGGTTCTCTCATGCCTTAGGGCACCGTGTTCAGAGGTACAGTCAGTAATCTATTAGTACAGCAGCATTCACTTAGCCAAACAGACACTGATCTAGAGAAAGAGTCCCCTCCCCTGGAGGGACCTTCAGTGAAAGCTTGTGACTCAGGATGAGAGAGGCTGATTTCCGCACACCACTCTTCCCATTCCCACACCCCCATCCAATCCCACTCAGTTAGCTTGGGCTTTTCTACTTCATTCTCCTGTCCCTGGCCCCTAAATGTGGAATGCCCCAGGACTTAGTTCTTAAATTTCTTATCCCACTGTCTTTGGAGATCTCATCCAGTTTCAGGATTTTAAATCCATCTTTCTTTAGATGATTCCCAAATTTAAATCGCTCATCTGGTTCTTTTCTCTGAGGTCCAGACTTAAATATCTAACTATCTGCTACCAGGTTCAGATCAATGTCGGTTAAGCATCTCAAACTGAACTCATCCTAAACTGAGCTCCTAATCCTCAGACAAACCTCCCCCATCCTCAGCCTTCCTCGCCTTCATTCATGGCAACTGCATTATTCCTGTTGTTGAGTCCAAAAACCTTGGTGTCATTCTTAACTCCTCTCTTTCTCTTATACCCTGTATCTAACCCACCAGTAAAGCCTATTGATGTTAGCCTCATAATATGCATAGAATCCAACCACTTCTCATTACTGTCACCACTATCTTCCTGGACAAGCCACGATCATCTCTCTTGCCACTCCTGATTGGTCTCCACGATTCTGCCTATAGCCCCCTTGAGTCTATTCTCAAAAGAGCAACAAACACAACACTTTAAAAATGTTGAGTCACTTTATCTACTCCCCTAATCAAAATTCTCAGTGGCTTCAACTTCTCTGAGTAAAAGCCAAAATCTTTGCAATGCCCTTCAGGGGCTACTGTGACCTGGATTCTCATCTGTCTCTGACCTTATCTCCTGTTACTATCTGTGCTGCTTTCGGGGTCCAAGACACACAAGCCTCAGGTTATCTATGTCCACAATTATATCATCTGTCACAGGGACACCTGTGTTTCTTTCTCTCCAAGCTTATACTTTTTAAATACTGTTCTTACCTTTCTAGGCTAATTTGGCCCTCCAATACAATGATGAATATAAGTGATAGTAGCATGCTTCTTTGTCTTGTTCCTGATTACAAACAAAAGCTTTTAATGTGTTACTATAAAATCTGATTGAATATTTGTTTTAGGATTTTTCCCCTCTAGATACTCCATTCTTGGCTTACTAAGGTGCTTTTATAAAAACCGTGAATGAATATTGAGTTCTTTCAGATTTTTTTTCTGCACCTATTAAGATGATCATGGGATTCTTTTTTTCTCCTGTAATCTTTAATATTGCTGTACTGGATTAACTTTCTAATGCTAAACCATTATGGAATCCTGGTATAAATCCAATAAGGTTATAATATAATATTCTTTTCTTTTTATATATTGGTAGATTTAGTTGGCTCATAGTTTCTTTAGGATTTTTGCACCAACGTTCTAAGGGTTGTTAAACTTTTTGAT